GGGTGTGGGGGGGGGTGGGAGCCGGGACCCCCCCCACCACCCGGAGGGGGGGGGCGGGTGGAAGGGGGGAGGGGGGGGGGGGGGGGGGAGGGGGAGGGGGGGGTGGGAGGAGGGGGGAGGGGGGGGGAGGGGGGGCGGGGGAGGGGGGGGAGGGGGGGAAGAGGGGGGGGGGGGGTGGGGAGGGGGGGGGTGGGGGGGGGCGGGGGTGGGGGGGGGGAGGGCGGGGGGGGGGGGGTGGGGGGGGGAGGGGGTGGGGGGGGGGGGGGGGGGGGGGGGGGGGGGGGGAGGGGGGGGGGGGGGGGGGGGGGGGGGGGGGGGGGAGGGGGGGGGGGGGGGGGGGGGAGGGGGGGGGGGGGGGGGGGGGAGGGGGGGGGGAGGGGGGGGGGGGGGGAGGGGGGGGGGGGGGGTGGGGGGGGGGGGAGGGGGGGGCGGGGGGGGGGGGAGGGGGGGGGGGGGGGAGGGGGGGGGGGGGTGGGGGGGGGGGGGGGGGGGGGGGGGGGGGGGGGGGAGGGGGGGGGGGGGGGGGGGGGGGAGGGGGGGGGGGGGGGGGGGGGGGGGTGGGGGGGGGGGGGAGGGGGGGGAGGGGGTGAGGTGGGGGGGGGGAGGGGGGGGGGGGGGGGCGGAGGGGGGGGGAGGGGGGTGGGGGGGGGGAGGGGGGGGGGGGGGGGGGGGGGGGGGGGGGGGAGGGGGGGGTGGGGGGGGGGGGGGGGGAGGGGGGGGGGGGGGGGGGAGGGGGGGTGGGGGGGGGGGGGGGCGGGGGGGGAGGGGGGGGGGGGGGGAGGGGGGGGGGGGGGGGGAGGAGGGGGGGGGGGGGGGGTGGGGGGGGGGGGGGGGGGGGGGGGGGGGGGGAGGGAGGGGGGGGGAGGGGGGGGGAGGGGGGGGGGGGGGGGGGGGGGGGTGGGGGGGGGGGGGGGGGGGGGGGGGGGGGGGGGGGGGGGGGGGGGGGGGGGGGGGGGGGGGGGGAGGGGGGGGGGGGGGAGGGGCGGGAGGGGGGGGGGGGGGGGGGGGGGGGGGGGGGGGGGGGGGGGGGGGGAGGGGGGGGAGGGGAGGGGGGGGGGGTGGGGGGGGAGCGGGGGGGGGGGGGGGGGGGGGGAGGGGGGGGGGGGCGGGGGGGGGGGGGGGGGGGGTGGGGGGGGGGGGGGGAGGGGGGGGGGGGGGGGGGGGGGGGGGGGGGGGGGGGGGGGAGGGGGGGGGGGAAGGGGGGGGGGGGGGGTGGGGGGGGGGGGGGGGGGGGGGGGGGGGGGGGAGGGGGGGAGGGGGGGGGGAGGGGGGGGGGGGGGGGGGGGGGGGGGGGGGGGGGGGGGGGGGGGGGGGGGGAGGGGGGGGGGGGGGGGAGGGGGGGGGGGGGGGGGGGGGGGGGGGGGGGGGGGGGAGGGGGGGGGGGGGGGGGGGGGAGGGGGGGGGGGGGGGGGGGGGGAGGGGGGGGGGGGGGGGGGGGGGGGGGGGGGGGGGGGGGGGGGGGGAGGGGGGGGGGGGGGGGGGGGGGGGGGGGGGGGGGGGGGGGGGGGGGGGGGGGGAGGGGGGGGGGGGGGGGGGGGGGGGGGGGGGGGGGGGGGGGGGAGGGGGGGGGGGGGGGGGGGGGGGGGGAGGGGGGGGGGGGGGGGGTGGGGGGGGGGGGAGGGGGGGGGGGGGGGGGGGGGGGGGGGGGGGGGGGGGGGGGGGGGAGGGGGGGGGGGGGGGGGGGGGGGGGGGGGGGGAGGGGGGGGGGGGGGGAGGGGGGGGGGGGAGGGGGTGGGAGGGGGAGGGGTGGTGGGGGGGGGGAGGGGAGGGGGGGGAGGGGGGGGGGGTAGGGGAAGAGGAAGGGGGGGGTGGGTGGAGGGGGCGGGGGGGTGGGCAGGGAGGGGGCGGGAGGGGGGGTGGGGGGGGGGGGGGGGGGGGGGGGGGGGGGGGGGGGGGGGAGGGCGGAGGGGGGGGGGGTGGGGGAGGGTGGGGGAGGGGGGGAGGGGGGGGGGGGGGGGGGGCGGAAGGGGGGGGAGGGGAGGGGGGAGGAATGGGCGGGGGGGGCGGGGAGGGGGGGGGGGGGGGGGGTGGCGGGGGGGGGGGGGGTGGGGGATGGGGGGGGGGGGGATGGGGGGGGGGGCGGGGGGGGGGGGGGGGGGGGGGGGGAGAGCGGCTGAGAGGGTGGGGGGGTGGGGGAGGGGGGGGGGAGGGGGATGGGCGGGGTAGGGGTGGGGGGAGGAAAGGTGTTTGTTTTTTTTTTTACCCTTGTCTTTGTTATTTCTTATTTTCTTTTTGCGTTTCATGGTTTTTTCTTTTTGTTTTCTTTGTTTTTTTTTTTTCTCTTATTGTTTTTTCTGATTTGTTGGACTTTTGGGGTTTGGTTTACTTTGCTTTTTGTTGTTGTTTGAGGAGAGGATACACACAGACTGTGAGCAGCCATTCACTTTAAACGACAAGCTGAAATAAAGTAAATCCAATAATGCATACAGATACGGTGGCATAACTCTTCCCTAAATTACCATATGAAGTAAGTTGGTTAGCAACAAATCAGCGATAAGTAAGAAATGTCCACAAGTTACATAAAAATGCTACAAACCCAACAAAATTACCGAAGATAAGCGCAATTAGTGTAAGCAACGTGGCCAGTTAATATAACATTATTCAGGTAGACAGAACAGACCGATTAAAGTGGAATGAAATTTATTCGGCTTAAAAAGACCTAGTTTAAGTGTAAGTTGGTTTAACTCTACTGCGGTGAAGAAGCATCAAGAATGCAACATCAGCAACAGCATGGGGCTACGTTGCTTACGCTACTTGCGCTTATCTTCGTTAATTCTGTTGAGTTTGCAGCATTTTTATGTAACTTGTGGACATTTCTTACTTATCTTGGATTCGTTGCTAACCAACTTACTTTATATGGTAATTTAGGGAACAGTTATGCCACCGTATCTGTATGCATTATTGGATTTATTTTATTTCAGCTTGTCATTTAAATTGAATGGCTGTTGTTTGACATCCCCGGTGTGGCTGCACTTGATGTGCATGTTGACAAGGTGCCTACCTGTCTAGTACCCACTACCTCGTTCATATATATATATATATATATATATATATATATATATATATATATCCACAAGTCTGTAAACGGACAAATGTGCCATTCGATTCATGGTCGAAGGGAAAGGAGAATATAAAGTTCTACGAGGAGAGAGAGTAAAACGTTAAAAAAGTTTTTCTTTCAGTTTCACACAAGCCGTTTTGAGTTTTTGTTCACTATTAAATAGTACAGGATGAAGAAGCGGTAAAACAGCATTGGCGCGACTGGCACCTACTGCAGGCCACATCCTCAAAGACTTCCAACTATTAAGAATCCGCTTCACCTAGTCCCCAGCCTTGGAGACGCACGAATCCAACTGACGTTAGACACGAAATTAGAATCTTCATACTCCCTTTCCAGGTTATCGGTCTTCCGTCGAGGCTATTTTTCCCTTCGCGTCCAAGAAGTGCAAATAATGCGTGACGTGGAAGGCGGTGGGCTGGCATGCGCAGTACTTGACAGAGCCAACGCAAGCGGTGCTGGATGATTATGCTCTGGAAACCAGGAATCTCCGCTTCCAGGATCCTGCTAGTAACTGGGTCGTAGTGATCATGTTACTCTACTCTTTGACTATATATGCTATGCGGAGTACTCTGAAAAGGAGGATAAAGTGCATACTGTCACGTACTACAATGTATTATCTAAGCTTGCTACGGATACATCTTGGACTTTCTTGACCGAAGGCCCTCCAGATGTTGCCTGGTAAACATTTACATGGACGTTTAACACACTGGTTGCGCAAGCATCGGAACAGAAGTCCTTCCAACCCCAAAACAAGCATAAGTCATTTCTGAGGGGCAGAACACGTAAATGCATATCCCGGAGGGATTTGGCATGGCGAGGTCATCAGGACTGCTTGTATGCCGAAACCTGGACTGCATATGTGACACATCATAACTACTGTGTGAAAGAGTTCCACGAAGAAAAGGCCACACATCAGCAGGAGTTAATGAAGCGCTTCTTGACGAACTGCAAACTTCTGTACAGGCACGTTAACGGCCTTCGAAAGGTGAAACTGGGGATTCCAGCACTAGTCACAGCTGATGGGTGCACGCCATCAGCAATGGAAGCAGCTGATTTCCTACGGCTTCATTACTCCCAAACTTTCCAGCAGGTAACAAGCCCAAACATCCTCTTCGTTTCTATTACTTCACAGCCGGGTTTAGACAATATCACCTTCACTGCGGTAGCTGTGTTGAAGAAGTTGTTATCCTTGCGTATCCACAGTTCCACTGGGGTCGACAACATCCGATCAAATGCTCTGCACGAGATAGCTAGTGATCTAGCAGAACTACCGGCTGTTTTCTATCAGCGATGTCTAGAAGAGAACCATATTCCACCAATATGAAAGCGAGGGTTCATCACTCCTATCCATAAAGGAGGTAGCCGCACTGATCCTACCAACTACCGTGCAATAACACTACTTCCTGTACTATCCAAAGATATGGAATCAATCATCGCAAATGAGCTGATGCAATATCTGGAAAGCCACAACTTAATAGCCTCAGCGCAACATGACTTTCGTCAAAAGTATTCGTGTAATACTAACCTATTAGTTGCACGTAATAGCTGGACTGAAGCTGTTGATGATGGAGTGGGAGTCTATGTCATCTACCTGGACTTATCAAAAGCGTTTGATCGTTTAGACCATCGAATTCTCCTTCAGAAGCGTCGGAATTACGGCATTGGCAACTCAATCCTGAGTTGGATCGGCAAGTTTCTACAAGAACGACGGCTAGTGGTGAGAGTCAGAGAATCCTTGTGATGCAATCGATGTGGCGTGTGGAGTACCACAAGGCTCGGTTCTTGGACCTCTTCTATTCTTGGTGTTCATTAACGATTTGGCGAGATCATTTGCTTCCGATTTCCTATATTTCGCTGATGATATCAAGATATGGCGAAGGATCAGAGGACCGGAAGTCCACGGACAGCTCCAGTGCGATCTTAACACTGGTCGAACTGTAGACAAATGTCGCGTTGTACAATTACGCCATAAACATAACTACACCTATTCACTTGGGACAAACGGATTACAAAATAGCTCCCAGGAACGTGACCTTGGTGTGGTCGTACAGAGCGACCTCAGCTGTTCAAAACAGGCTGAGGTAGCTGCGAAAAGAGGGAACCAGCACTTCGACACGCTGCGAAGAGCATTCGGGATATTTGACCCATCAATCTTCCCAATGATGCACAATTCTTACGTACGCCCGCGTGTTGAATACGCTATCCAAGCATGGCAACCTTGGTTGAAGCGCGATCTAGAAGCGATAGAGGCACCACAACGAAGAGCAACAAAGAATGTAAAGGGCCTGCGATATCACTCTTACCACCGAAGGCTGAAGTTGCTGGGAATTTTCAGCGGACGCTATCGTAGGCTACGCGGGGATCTCATATTAGCGTATCAGATACTGAGTGACCTCAACCACGTATGCCGACATTTGCTGAAACTTAGTCACAACATGCAACTCAGGGGTAACTGCTTAAAATTGAAGGAACAATATAGCCGTCTAGAGTGTCGACGGAATTACTTTTCCATTCGGGTTTGCCAACCCTGGAACGCACTCCCAGACTTAGTTGTAACCTCTCCTACCTTGGACGTTTTCAACAAACGATTAGGTGTTGCTCTCAGCTAGCAGCATTTCGTTACCTAAACTCCACTATTGTGGATTACTCCAAGCACGTTTTTCAACAGGATTTATACATCAAATGGACCTAAGTGAGCGACCATATTTTACTTTTCTCACTACTTACATCAACGACCACTGCACTCCAGCGTCTTTCTGAACGTTTACGCTTGATAACTTTTTAAAATTTTACACTGATGTTAATTATCAAACTATTCATCTCGGCAGAGGTTTGGTAGATAACCCAGATATATTTTGATTTCAGCATATTCACCTCAACCATCCCACGGGACGTGTCATGCACTTGCTTTTATCCCGTGATAAATCAGTGTTCATTGTTCCGCGTTGCTCACATGGTGCTGCCATCATTCGCGAGCAATCGAACGCAAGCAGCAGTGGTCGAATGTAGACAATCGTCTCAAATCTTCCGATCGAACACACCAGGTCTCGCAGCCGTACAATAGCACAGAACGGACTCTGGCATTGTGCACTCGAACTTTGAGCTTGAGACTGATATCGCGAGGACGCCACAAGTGTCTCAGATTAGTAAATGCAAGGCGAGCTTTGGCAGTTCGTTGTGAAATTTCATCGCCAATAACGCTACTAGCCGTAATCTCGATTTCAAGAGTACGTTCGATTCAGTCGATCGATCGATTCTGTTCGAAATACTTACGCGGAAAGGTGTTCCCACGAAATATGTGCACATCCTTCGTGCTCTATACTCGAACACTATTGGCCGCGTCAGGGTCTATGGTGTCCTATCGGATAGCTTTCCGACCACAAGTGGCGTTCATCTGGATTGTCCAATTTCCCCGTTTTTGTTCAATTTCGTCGTGGATTCTACCATGGAGTGTTCCCTTGCGGAATCTCACGATGTAGGCGTTCAAGTGCTGCCTGGTGAAAGGTTTGTTGATCTAGATTATGCGGACGATATCATGTTGCTTTTTGACGATGTTACGGCGGCAACGAGACTGGACCTTAACGTGGTGCGACGGTTTGCGTACCTCATTGACCCATTGAGCTATACTGGGTGATGCCTCCGAGCATCTTGAGAGCTACTCCTACCAGGTTGGTCAATGGTGAGAGGTTAGACAAACTCAGTCTCCTGGTCCTCCAGGTTGGGGGTTTGAAATGGGATGGCGTCCATTTCTGTAAAACTAAATCATTGCCACCCCGCTGCCTTGCGGACAGGCTTTTGAGCCAAAGGCTTTGGATGAGGACCCTAATCGTTCTCCTGTCTAGGTCTGGGCGCCCTGGCAGTATCCCAGTCCACATACAACCATGACATTTTCTTCAAACATAAACTTCATCCTGCATCGGCCGTCGCGCAGATTATCAAGGGTCGCCTTATCTGCTGCATACAGCAGGGCGGATAAGCGAAAGCATGCTACTGCTGGCGCCTCCTTTCTTTCTTTTCCACCTTTTTCTCTTACTCCCATCCCGGCCCCCATTACTAACCTTCCTTCTATAATTCCCAGCTTAATTGACAGCAACAAAAGTG